GCAGCAGATCAATCTGTTCAGAAACAGCAGTGTCTGATATGAAGTTGATATGAAGTCAAATGAGATTAAGGATTGGAGGAGAAGGGATAAAGAGATAAAAAGACAATCCAAACAGATATAAAAGTTAATTTTATTATTTCTGTAGCTCACAGAAACTGTGACTTGTAGACAGTAACTCAATAGCCTTAGAAACTAAGAATCACTTGCCCAAGTATTTACATTTGTTGACCTCCTCCTGCTCACTAGGTTGCCTAGGAACATCTTACCTCAGAATGAATGGGAAAATAGTTTATGAGCCTGTCTGGGCATTTCAAATTATTTTTTAATCTATTTTATTAAATCCATTCAAATGGTTTTCCATTACGCTTTTTTACAGCATTCAAGATACTCAATGAAAAAAAAAGTAGAGGAGTAATAAAGATAATATACTCTGAAAAGGCTTTCATAGATAAATACCAACTTGGATACAACATGCAGAAGTGTTGGAGGGATGACTCAGCTCCTAATGATATTTTAAGTTCATTTTCTTAGCAGTAGCCTGATGTTGTCAATAACTCCCAGTAGGCTACTTAGAGCTGTAGATTCATTTTCCCATTAATGGCAGCAAAAGGTTCTTTGTTAATGGTTTTAGGATAATGCTGGGTTTTGCCATATGGCAGGATTTGTATGAGGGCTTCTCATGAAAAGCCAGAGAGTGTAAGAAATTGTTACTATATTTAACTGCAGTGTCCTCACATGCACAGCAGACAACTGGAATGGACACTGTTCTAATATTTACAAGTGCAAACAATGCTCAATATTTACTGCATGTTCTGTTTAAGAGGACTACAGGGACCTTAAACAAGAGAACATATGGATAGATCAGAGGATTCGTAATACAATACTGAGCTTTTCACCTCTAGGTCATTGGTTCAAATCTAAACTGGTTGGTAATGAAGGCAAGCTATTATCATCTGACAGCCCTGGCCTTTGCAAATTGATTTGTCAGGCTCAGTCCTGCTCTCATCAAGCTCAAAATTCACAACATCAATTTGCATCTCTGAAAACAACCCCAGCAACATAACAAAAAAATGAACAAAGAGAAGTAATCTCTTCCTCCTCAGATACTATCTCCAGACCAGAGTCTCTGGAGAGTGCCAGAGCAACACTGCAAATTATAGCACTAGTAGCACAATACATCATTCTGTGGAGAAAAGTTACTTCTGACTCTCAGATACCCAATTATGATTTCCTCCGTACAAGTACAAAGCTTTCAGAGGTTTCATTAATAAAGAAAAGACAAGAAAGAAGAGACCAATATGCAGGTCTTAAAGCTGAAATTTCACAGTCTTGCTTAAAGATCTCTTCAGATACCTTGTTCAAAGGTGTGTTTCTTAAGGTTGAAGGTTTTGAAGAAAATGGTCACAGTACTCTATAAAAAGAATATCAAATTTACCTTCCACATTGTTATGGTGTATTTGTAGTCAAAATGTTTAAACACCACTTGCAGCAGCAACATTGTATTCTGTTACTTGAAGACAGCTTTAATTCAGAAACGGATTTATTTACAAGTTATCATGAATAATACTAGAGAAGCCATATTTATACAGTATTTCTTCAAAATCATGATAGACAGAAAAAGTATGGATTATGCTATAACAGTACATCATTTTCCACATGCTTTCATAATTTGAACAAAAATGGTCTTAAGCTTGAAAACCACATCCAGCCCTTTTCTTTGCCTCTTACTAGTTTGGGAGCAATCACAAGAAACACTCAGCAGGTACCACAATCCTCCATTTTACTAAGCAATCACTGCTACAGGACTGAATAGACACACCAACTTTTAACGCAGCACCTTTAAGATCACCTTTACATCAGAAACTTAGGGCACTAGACAACAAAATCTACTGAAAGTTTTACACTCTATGAACATGAAATATTACTCCTAATATCTGAGATTGCAACAGAACACATACAACTCACAAATGTTGGAAAATATCAAAAAAGTAAGAGCCTCTTGCAGGTTCCTGGGTTTTTACTAAGGTGCTGATACACTGAAGTTTTTCCTTTCTTTTCCAATAACTCCAGATATAAAACAGTTGCTGTAACTTCAGGAAAGGCCCAACAGGTTAATTCCCAGCTGAATGACTGTATATAGGTTCTGCAAGCTGAGCAATCAAGCTGTGTACAGACTACTGCTATAAAACCAGAGTAGCACAGCCAAGCCATATCCAAACATTAGACCCACAGTGTCCCACGGGCAGTGGCTGGGGAGATGCACCCAAACCCAACCTCCCCCTGTCCCAGAACAAGAAACCCCATGCATGAAGTGACATAACAGAAAAAGAGAGAAACAAACTGCACACTAAACTTGTATGTCAAGGGACACAATAAGAGACCAACTACACTGTGACATTTGTCTTCTACACCAGGAGAAAGCTCCTCCCAGCAGTGTCACACACAGAGCAAAGGCCTAGGGGATGGGGCTGCCTACAGATGAAGGGAAGAAGGCAAAATCACCCTTGCACACCCTAAGGACTGGGGATTGCCTATTACTTGACTTGCAATTAACAGAACCAAGAGAGATCCAAGCAAGCCAATCAAAATTCTCTGACAGTCAGTAATAACATTTCATGCTTTTCCTCTCTGCCATCAAGCACTGCGTATCTTTTCTGGGGAATGACCTTCAGTGACAGAATATAAGATGTGCCTGCAGCCACTACAGACAGAAAATAGATAAATTTAAAAGCAAACAAGAAGTATTTCAGAGAACAAATTAAAATAAAGTGTTTGAATAAATGTGTGTGGAACATATGTCAGGAAACTAAAGGATGTATAAGGTATTCAGAAGGCTGCAAGAGGAAAAATGAAAATACTAATAAGCTCTACAGGTATCAACAGATATGTTAATTATAAGATAGTTTTGTTGGTTCTGAAGTTAGGTAAGCAGTTAAAAAAAAACAAGCAAAACAAAAACAAACAACAGCTGTGACTTTAACTTATTCTTTCATCCCCTTACCTCAGGTTTGTTTTTTTTTTTTAATTTTATATCATCTGTTGCAATTTGCACAGTTAGACCAAAAGTGATTCTGGACAGCCACAACTGTTCTTTACATAGGTATGTTTATAGAGTCCTGAAACTCAATGAGCCTCTCAAAGTAAGAAACTTTTCGAAGCTCCACAAACAGGGAAATAAACACACTTTCTCTTCTATGCACTGTCCATGAAAACTCGCCTAAGCACACTTAATCCCTAATAACATCCCCAAGACTAGACAGAGAAGGATTTAAATTCCCATTATCCTTTTTAACGAACTTGTGACTACAGTCTCAAAATAGACACTTAAACCAGAATTGAGAGAAGAACTGGCATATTTCTTACCTGCAATGCCTGAAAGAAATGAAATGTAAAAGAATGTTTTACAGCTGCCTCCAAAACTTCTAAATTCTCTGGGATAACTGTAAGTTTGTCTGCACTGGACAAATCAGGCACACCCTTACTCCTCACTGCACCCCAAGAACATTGGGGCAAAAGACTTCATAGGTGACATTACCAGGTGAGAAGGAAACAAATGAGAAAAAAAAAACAAAGCTCCTATTTAATTCAGCCTGAATGATATGCAGCATGCTTAATTAGATATAGTTTTTATTAGGTGATGGAATAGAACTGACAAATTATCCTATCAAATTAAACTGTTATTATTTCTATCACTTCCTAAATGACAACAGTTTTCAACAGGCTGACAAATATTTTTCAGCTCACAAGACATTTTTCTAATTATTTTTAAAAGCTGTCACATTCAAGACATGTGTTACCTCAGCAGCTGAGTTCTCAGCACAGCAGCACCTTCCTTCACTCTGGAAGCAAACACAAGACTATCTATGCTGCTGCTGTTTTCCAAAACTGCTACTCAGTGTCAAGCATCTCACAGCACAAAATCTTTCCGTTGTAGATTTTTTTCAAGTCTGAAAAGTAGCACAAGCTTAGAGAAATTTTTTTCAGTACACATGTTTTTCTTTCAAGCTGGATGAAAAATACACAGCTAATTTCCCTCCTTTTTCATACGCATTTTTTTCCATGATTAAAACCCTCAGAATTTGTTCTGAAATCTGAAAAGCTTTTTCTATTTTTTTAACACACAATCAGCCATTACAATACCCACAAGAAGTTCACGTAGCTGAAAGACCAGAAAGCCATTGTGCCTGCAACTTTTTGAAAGCAGAGGGTGTATATTGTTATGGTTTCTATTTATGGCTGTAATCCTCATGAATGTCCACTCGTAATCCTTCCACTCAAAGAAAGATTTCAAGAGAAATCCGACTCTGGCAAAGCAAAGAGCTTCTGCTTTCTTTTAAAAAAGGGGGTTGAAAAGCACATGGTTTTGCCTACCTGGGACCAACATAGTCAATTAAATACTGAGGACGTTCTTCCAACCAACAGCAGCTCCCAAGCAAGTTTAACTTTTGACGGCAGCGGATTATTAACCAAGACAATACAACATCCTGGGTTAGTAACCAAGATACTACAACACTCCTTATTCTTTCAAAGACCCCCGCTAACAAAATACCTTTCTAGCCTCTAGCATTCTCTTTTCCCCGTACCTGCTACTCCTTGTCTCTTCTGGGGGCGAGCAGAGCAGAGGGGCCGTGCCCTGGCAGTCCCGCCGGAGGCCGGGCCGGGCCTGGGGCCGGTCCCGCACGGACCCCGCCGCGGCCCGGCCGACGCGGGCGGGGGCTGCGCCACAGCGCAGAGCGGGGGTCTCTCTCCGCCGCCGAGGATCCGGCCACAGGGTCAAGCAGCCCGTGCGCAGCTGGGTCTGGCCGCGGCTTCCCCCGAGGGGCCCGGACGGGAGGAGACCAATGCCCGCGCCCCGGGAGCGGCTTCAGCCCCACCTGCACCCGCGCACGACTCCCGCCGGGCGCTCATCCCCCGCTGCCATAGCTACGGGCAGCCGCGCCGCCCGCCTCTCGCGAGAGCCGCCATCTTCCCGCGAGAGCCGCGGGCGGCGCCGGCGGCGGGCGCCTCCTGTGGCGAGAGGGCTGAGGGAGCGCGGGGCGGGCGCGGCTCTGCCCGCCGGGACACACCGGGAACACCGGGACTGCCGGCCGGGACACACCGGGAACACCGGGACTGCCGGCCGGGACACACCGGGACTGCCCGCCGGGACACACCGGGGCTGCCGGCCGGGACACAGCGGGACTGCCCGCAAAGCCTGGCCGCTGCCGGCTGCGCAACACGCCTGGAGGAAACAGACGCGCTCATGTCCAGCAACAGTTCGCTTGTCGTTCATGTGAGCTGAGTTAGCTGACAGGCTAGAGCCAAGACATGGGATGTTCAACACCATGCGTTCTTCAGGTTGTGAATTAGACCATCTCAGGATGAGGGGAAATTGAGTAAGATGTTTTAGAAATTTGTAGTGTGATTTTCTGAATACTAGACAACGTGTAAAATTACTATAAATCTCGCATTCCCTGAACTGTGTCAACTGTACATTGCAATCTCTGATTTTCCTGTCACCAGTGTAGATTTACAGTAATATTAACTCTGGTGTAATGGTGTTGATGTAATCTTGGTGACACCCAAGAAATGCTTTTCAAGCCCTTGGAAATAAATAGATACTTCCCTATGAATCATGCACATAGAGAGAATCTGAGGATAACTGTGGTGACCACAATTCCATGACCAGCTGGTACCTCAGTGATACCTGGGTAAACAACAATAGTAGTTACTCAGAAACATGAAGATGTCAGGGCTAATACATTTTCTTTTCTGCTCTTTTATTTCTAGTGTTCCCAGAATCTGAGAGATACAGCTTTTGTAACAATTCTTAGAGAAGTGCCACCACCTCTGTAAGTGTACAGGAAGTTCTTTCTATTTAATTGTTGAGGCCATTTTTGCATAAAAGCAGTGAGTTGATGCATAATGTTCTGTATCTAAAAGATGTATGCCAAAATTTCTGCTTCCGATAATTCAGGTATCCTGTTAGTGGTGTACCAGATGACAAAGTGTGCCTGGGGAACTGGGACTGTTGTTTGTTCTGCCTAGAGCAAACAAAGCATAGAGTCTGTGAACATGCATCTGCAATAGTGTTCATGCTGCTGTTAATATGGCATCGCTAGCACCACTAAAAATAAAAGAAGGTTTGTGCATTTGGAAGAACATTTGTTTACTTGTGTCTTCTCATCCCATTTCAGTCTCTTGCTCTGGGAATCTAACCAACCATAGTGGAAAAAAGAGCAAATGAGGAAGGCCTCAAGCCTCTCTTAGGGACCAAAGATAATTAACAGGAACATTTAGAGGGAGAGTAGATATAATGAAGCCCTGAATATGTGCTAGCTTCAGGCCCATGAAAGTATGGCTGTTTTTGTAATAGAATATAGAACTAATTGCATGTCTGAGGCAGGCACTGTGGGGTTTGACTGCAGCACTCCTCAGTGTAATTGAATTTGTGTAGCATCTGTGAGCAGGGGAGGTCCAGTGCCACAAGGCCCAGAGGGTGTCCTTAGGCAGCCCAGTGAAAGTTTCTTGGTTGTTTGTCCCTCCTTCCAGGGACCACTTTGTTTTCCCCACAGTGAACGATGTATGATGGGATTGTTGCTTAAAGCAGAAGTTCTCCCAGTAAGAACACAGAGTCCTTATTTACCCTTTTGTGTAGAGGGGTGTTTTGGAGCAGGAGTGCACCATTGCTTAGCTTTTTCAGCTTTTTCACTGCTCTTCATGTCCTCCTTGTATGCTTTTCTTCTCCCTAGCTGCAAATACAGGAACCTGGAGTAAAACAATGATGTCTGAGCCTGGGAAGAGGTGAGACCTTTGTCAGCCTTCTGTAGTACAATTACACTGTCTCTGTCTGAATTTCTAGAAATTATTTGCTCCCAGTAAGCCCTGTTACAAGAACCAGGAAGAATAACTATTTTGATTTGGCACCTGAAGAATTTATAACCATAAATTAATAGAGCTTGTATGTTTATTTGTTCACTTTGGATTTTTGAAAGGCAAATGTTTGTTTTCATTCTGGCTTGAGCTATACATAACTTCTTTGATCCTTTTTTTTGAAAAGCATAGTCTGCAAATTTATTTGTATCAATTCTCTCTGAAAGTATTTGTTAAATGAAAAACAGACTTTTAGAACTAAAACTGCACAAAACATTTTATGTTTCTTTTATTCTCAATCAAAAGATCAAAATAAACACACAAAAAAGAACCCTGCAGGTTTTCTTTAATATAGTTGGACAATATGCTTTAAAAATTTTTATATAAATAATGTTTCTAAAAATTATAATTAAAAATCAAAGTAAGAGTTTATATTTGAGAATTTGTTTATTAAGCTGACTGAAGTTTAGGTTGCATTTTAAAAGCACTGCTTCAGGGTTGTTTATGTAGTTCTCTTCCCTTTACTGCTTGTCTTAATTAACACAAAATATATCTGAGCAAGTACTTGTACTCCTTAAAGCTTCATGTAAGTTGTACTGCAAGCAGAAGATGATCATCAGAGAGATAACACTTACTGTGTGCTAAATACTTAGAGAGCAAGAACATAAAGGCACTGCTAATTAATTACATTAACTGAAGAGACTTTTACTAGTAGATATATGATTATAATTAGTATCATTAATAATGTTTCAAATTCCACATACTCTCAATTCACAAAACTTTGAGAGTTCCACCAAATGTGTGCAATCTTGCTTCTGTGTCTGCCTGCAAGTTCTTGATTATCTGTGGGCCTGCTCAGGCACATCTGCAAGACAGAATAGGCAACTTGTCTAAATTAGTTTATAACCTGCAATTGGGCCATAGATGAGATTGCATATAAATGTCTCAGTGTGCTGTGAGCCAGCAGGATGGCTTGAAAACTTCTCATACTGAATCGAGAGAGACTCTTCTATGTGCTGCTGGTGGGCAGCAGTGGCCCCTGTAAATGGCCAGAGCGGTGTTAACAGCATTGCTGTGCCAAGGGGCAGTCCTTTATGATCACATCTGTAGCACTCTTCTGTGGAAGAGAGCTCATACTTGCAGACCAGCTAGTTAGGGGGAAAAAAACCTCAGTGCAGTGTATGTTCAAGCCTTGTGCCACAAAACTGCTTCCCATGGAGGGATGGCCACGCGCAGACCTCTGCTCCATAACAGAAATGCCATGGGCAGTCTGGTGCCTGCCATCTTGTAATAAGAAAAATGAATACATTTTATATAGTCACAGTATGGTTAAAAAAAAAAAAAAAAGTCAAAAAGGCAAAGCACATATTCTCTTAACAGCCTGAAACTCTCCGAGATTTTATTTCAGAGAGAGTAAGTCTGATGCCAAAGCCATCTCTTCTAAATGACCTGTCAATGATCTGTCAAACTGTTCCCTTTGATTAGGGAATACATTGCAGTCAAATGAAAGGTTTTCTGCACAACACAGAGAATCAGGCTAACTGTGCTGCTGCTTGCCGAATATTTATGCTATCAGCTATAACTTCAGGCAAAGTTTTAAAACATCTGAGACCATATTTCTGGATAATAAGGCTGAGATTTTTTGTAATGCTTTTTTTAACATTAAAATGTGGGCACTGTTTTTTAATGCATTTTTAGCATGGCTTGGGTTCTTTATCATAGAATTTGTCTTCATGAGGAACATATCAAAGTTTAGAAATTGTAAAATAGTATTACTAGAAATAACAGTGTAAATAACTAAAAATGTGAGAGCTTCTTTTTTTTTTTTTTGAGTGAAAGATCTGAATGTCACTAAATTCTATGCAATCCATTTTTCAAGGGTGAGCCCCTCCTGGTTGAATGGATTTTTAGCTGTTGTTCCATGGAGTATAAGCTTGATATCCAGTATATCCTATATAAGGGACCTGTGGCCTTTTCAAGAGGATGAGCTCAATAATTTGTTCTTTTTTATCTCTATGATGATCCTGCTTAAAAGCAGATGACTGACTTTCCATTCTGTAGCTATTCTACTATGTGGGAGAAAATCCACTGTAATTAAAGCTAATAAAATCCTCTAATTCCCAATATAAACATTTCTCTGACATAGACAATTCTCCTGAGTCTACATCACAGCCCAAGGAAAACAAAGAACAGGAGCTGTTTCTTACTTCCTTTTAAATATCTGATTATTATGGACAAACTTCTGCCCTGATTAACAGTAGCTGAAAGCCTTACTCAAAGTAATTATTTTTGGGACAGAATTTGGATTACTGATTTTTTTCTCACTTGTAATGTTACTTTGCATAATGGCTAAACTAGCATGTAATTTAGGCTGTGTAAACAACAAGACAATAGTTGTCTGAATTGTTCTACAACATGTAGTGTTGTATTTTTCATTTTGTAGTAGAAACAAAAGCACATAAATCCTGCTTGACAGGATTTGAGATTGAAAGTGCACTGGCAAAATAAGAACTATGTGCCTTATTAAGCAAATGTACCAAAACTGAGGCAACAGCTTACAAGTATGGATTACAGGAGTATTATTAATACTTTTCAGTGATGCAGTACTAATTCCAAGGGCATTGCAACGTCTATCTCCATTTATGGTTTGGGTTAATGGGATGTGTTGACAAAACCCCTTGTCCAACAGTACATTGTGAACCAGACAGAGCTTTGGGTACATGCCCAGCCCTTTAGCACCTGCGGGATTGTGCTGCTTTCCTCGTACCTGGGAGCTTTGAGACTACACCACCCACCAGAGAGCACTGTGCTATTTCTGCATGTCTTCCTTACCTGTCTCTGTGTGTTTAAGGACCTATTTTATTCAATCTTTTTTTCCTGTGATACAGGATACAGAACTCAAGTGGTTGTTGTGATTCTGCTGGAATTCCCAAACATTTTGCTGTCGTTGTCCTGTGTGCACCCTGTGTGCAGCCCTTCCTTGACCTGACTAACCTCATCTGGGACCTTTATCCCACTTATGGCTCAGAAATCTCTTTTAAGCTCAGACCCAGTCCTGGGGTCCTTTGTGTGAGCGATGTTGTTGAGGTGCTGGCCTGGACTCTTGTCTCTTGGGTGGACCTGAGACCTGTGCTGTGATTGTCTGGGGCAGCCCCTTCTCGGAGCAGCCAGTCCTCTCTGCACCTTGACATTCCTTAACTGGAATACCTGCTGCTGGAAATACATCGTGACATCTGCCTACCCAGCTATCTCGTTTCTGATATTCCTGACATATTCATCCAAAAGCATAATGTATTTCACTTTTTAAAAAAAAACCCATGTAATTCTATATTGCAAAAGGATAAAGTCTGTGTCAGAAAAGGGGGGGCAATAAACGGCTTATTTATTGGGAGAATATTTTGTTTAACGTCACTTTGTTTTCTCTGAAATTTCCTCTGACTTTCTGAATTTCTAGCTTTGTCATTGTGGATTGGATTATTGTATTAAAGTACTTCTGAACTGAAAAAGAAATCCATCCTCCTTAATTACAATGCAATGAAAAAGCTAAATTGATTTAAAATATTGGAAAACAGCAACTTTATCTCCAAACAGAGCTTTTTCATTTTTGTTGAAATGTTCTCCAGATCAAAGTAGCACCTTAATATTTTTAAGTTGAGTCACAGAATTGAGTTATGGATACCTCTTAATAATAGGATATATAATAAATGTTCTTTAGCCATTGCTAAAGAACATTTAGCAATGCTTATTATTAGCATAATTTTACAGAGATCTCACAGTAGCCCTGTCAGTAGCTTTATAGAGGCGTGTAATAAAACCAACCACATAAGTATCCCAACAGAATAAAAATCAAATATGTGGCTGCAGGATTTTCTAGACAAGGAGGAAAAACTCCTAAATTAAAAGTACTTCAGTGGAAGCTGTCCCCATGAATAAGCTGTTCAGCCCTGCTTACAGGAGGAAATGTTGAGGCACCAGAACAGAATTCCAGACCTGTCTCCAAGCAGGAATTCTTTAGTGGTTTTCCACAGCACCTGCCTTTCTTCCTATTTGTGTGGCATTGCAGAAACTGCTGCAAGAAATGGAATAGACTTTCATGGTGTGTATTTGAATAAGTAATGCACTGTGGTAGATGTCAAATTAGCTCTGTTGTTATTAAAGAATTTGTTTTCTTGCTCTGTCAGTATGGGCAAGCTACCTTACTTGGGTGTGCCTCTGTTGCTTCCCAACCTGTTAACTTTATGTCCACTGTAAAAAAAAAAGAAGGAAAAAAATAACCAAAAACTGTTTAAGCTGTCACCTAGTTTATACTCTGGAGAACTGGGGAATCTTAGGTGACAGTGAAATACTTTAAGCTGTTTGTTTTGCTGACAGGCTGACTTTCTATTTAATTTCTGATGTTGTTCTAATTTCCTCTCAAAGTCATCATCCTTCCCCATCACTTTGGCAGTATTTTTCCAAGCCATCTGGATGTATATGGATCTTATGACCATCCCCATCAGTCCCTGATCTTTTGTCCCAGGATAATAGTCTCATTGTGAGATTGAAACTTTTGTTATTGCTAATCCCCAAATTCTTTCAGCAGCACTTTTTATGGAGAAAACACAAAAGCTGTTTTTCATCTTGGTGTTTTATTTTTTGTTAACACATGACAAAACAGATTTATTATCAATCATACAGGCAGCATGTAGCATTGCTAAACAGAAAAACACTTCCTTAGTCTTGGCCTCTTACATGCTGGTGAATAAAAAGCTCCTTTTTTTCAAACTGTGTCTGATTTAGATTAACAATACAGTGAAGAGAAGTTTAGAACCTGCTTGGGACTTTCTTGGCTACAGGCAAAAGAAAAAAGAGCTGACAGAACTAGAGTTGCACTTTTCCACTCCTTACTATCAACTTGCATATAGAAAGGGCTGACAAAAAAGGGAAGGTCTTGGCAGTGGGGATTTACAACTCTTCTGTTTCACCACTCACTGGCACATTGACTGCAGTCTGGTACTCTGAGAAGTCTCCTGACGGCATCCAAGGTATTGGGGTTCTGTTGAAGGAGGGTCTTTTGCTGAAATTTTGATTATATATCATGAGAGATTCTGGAAGCAAAGGGCAGATATCAAACTGAGGCACTTTGAAGGTCATCCGTTTGGCTGCTTTTTCAAAACCTCCGTAAGGCATGGCAGTCCTGGCATAGGGGAATGCATGGAGTTAGCAAACAGAGCATAGGTAAACAACAGGATTTATAAAATAAACAGTCAAAGTTATCAAGATTCTAAATCTTGCTACTGTTGCAGTTGGCCAACACATCCTTCATGAGAACATATTTGTATCCATTGCCTATGTACTAAAAATTATGTAAACACACACCTATGCTGCTGTGCACTTCCTTCACTCTTGTTGCATCAGTCTCCATCAAACCATACACCTTTTACACCTGGGGTTAGTTTTCTGTACATGTATCAGGCAGAGACTGCATTATTGCAGAAATGAGTGGCATGTGGGTTTGTTCTTGGCACTGATGACCTGAGGCTATGGAGGTGGATGGCAAAATTGTATAGAGAGGTTAACAAAAAATTGTTGCTGCCCTAGAAATATTTGTAAAACTTTCAGTGCTTATCAGAAACAGCAGAAACATCCTGATTTGTATATGAAGTGCTGTGAAGTATATAGCTGCTGATCATAAGTATTTTTCATGACCTCTTGGACTTCAAAGGGTTGCAGTAAAAAACGGTGGCAAACTACATCTCCTGGTCAAATGGGGAGAGAAAGAGAGGCAAATAGGATTAAAGTCCTCTTATCCAACTGCATTGGTTTTCTGTGCATAGTCTGAATTTAAATCTCTAGCTCTTAACATATTTTGTCTTTGTAGTCTTCCAAACATTTCATCCACTGGAGACTATGCTAAGTAAAATGAAGTGCAGCTAAAACTTATTTACAGTGCACAAGGCAGGAGGGCTATGGTCAGCATTATTGTGTTTCCTCTTGCTGAATAAGCTGCATTGAATATCTAAGAAGACTTACCGGTTAAAAGACTTGTAGTGGGGGAAATCAGCTTTGGGGCTGTATGACAGTAAGTCCGTGGAGAACTGACTTTTGTCCTCAGGGCTGATACCCATCGCTCGTTCCCAAGGGGAAATGTAAGTTTTAAATATAGTAACTTTTTTGCCTCCTGACTTCCCATCTGTAAACAGAGGAAGGTAAAGCAGTCTAGTTAGATGGCACTCTAACTGCATTGTGCTTCTGTATTCTGCTACTGAAGCTGAGGCACCAGCTTTGTTTCCAGATTCTGTAACTCCTACATCAATACAAGCTTTTGTGGTTAGATTTCTGTTTTAAAAAGATGATCATATACCACTTCTGTTCTTATCCACAAAAGCAGATAGTACCATAGTCTAAAGCCACTCATCCAGGAATTTGCATTAAAACATGTATTTGGAATTTTTCATTCTTCTTTTTGGTTGGTCATACAGAACAAACCACAGTCCTCACCTCATCATCTCTTCCACTAATAGGAGGGAAGCTTTATATGAGGAAAAATGCAAATAATTTCTTCATTTACTTTATTTTCTGTCAGATCATAGCAGACATGACACGGCATTTTCTTTGTGATTGCATGAACAGACATTCATCTTTTTCCCCTTCTGAACTGGGATGTTAGAGACAAGTTTGTCTCAATCACCTCAGGATGGCTAAAAGCAGTTTGCAAATATTATGTGGTATCTTACTTCAAGTTAAAATCCTATCAGTGAGTAGAGCTGCACTTTGTTGTAAAGTCAGACACTTGATTGCTAGAAATTTTAGATTAGCTTCTAGCTGCTCCATTAGGCAAATGAGTTTAGACAAGGGATTTCATTCTGCATTTCCCTTCCCTTCCCTTCCCTTCCCTTCCCTTCCCTTCCCTTCCCTTCCCTTCCCTTCCCTTCCCAAGCTGTGTATACCACCTTGCTAGTAAGAGTATGTTTTGTATTGATATGTAGCACACTTATAATATTTTCCTCCTTCATAAACCTTAAAACTCCTGAGCAATGACATCTGCTTAGCTTGATTAGGGCAGATGAGAGTAATAGATTAATGGAGAGAGACACTCTGGTGCCTTCTTGGTGCTACATTTTGTGTAGAAAACAAATCCTCATGAAGTAAGTGGCAAAGAATGAACACTATTATCTGAATATTTCTTCTTTATCACACCTCCTTTGTCTGTCTTGCTCATTTCAAGCCATGCCAAGTCCTGGGTTTCCCTGCTTTCAGAGAATTGCAGACATTTACAAGAATTTCATTTTCATTTAAAAAAATAAATACAACTGCTCCCCCCTTTTTTGTGAAGTATTTAAGCTAAGCAGTTTACCAGCAAATTGATTGCTAGAGTTGAAACATAAAAGCAGCTGGGATCTGTCTCTGCAGTGAAAGCTATAGGATCGTATTAATCCTCCTCCCTGAACACATGATAACAATGAAGAAAAATCTCCTGTAAGAAAACTATATGAGTCTATACAGATTGCTTTTTCACAGGAAACGTACAAGCTGATTTTGATATAAAATGCAAATTATTCCAGAATGTAAATGAAAAAACTTGGATTTTACAAGTCATTCATTTGGTTACTCAAGGCAGTTATTCCTGGTTCCCAAGCAAATATGATTTTTTTTTTTTTTGGGTAAAAACCTATAGGGACTGTTAAAGTTATGATATCATCTGCATATTCTTATACTAGGTATTTGTTTCTAGAGATTTCTGGCCAAACTAAACAGAAGATGAAATCAGGCAAAGACTTAATTGAATTAAAACTACTTTTACTCATAAAGATATTGCCTCAGTGGCCCAGTGGTGTTTACGAGATAACTTCTAGAAATATTGCTGTTCCTTTCTGGAGATTATCCAAAAAATGTTCTTTGTTTTGGTAGAAGCTTGGATTTGAAATCAGGGCTCGGGTATTCAAGTCTGATACTCAGATCAGACTACTGATCTAAAGAGTTAATACCAGTCTCTCCAGTAGTGATCAGTGTGAACCCCTTGAAAGGAAGGAGTGCCACACTGGCCTGGCATAGCTGTACTGGCCTACTGCTCTACCAGCCTCGGGAGCTCAGCACATAAGTTTTCCTGAAATTCTGTTGCCCTGTCAAGGAAGGTATTTCTGCCTCCTGCCTGTGGTTGAGCAACATAGAAACATGCAAACAAAACCATCAAACTCAAAGCAGTTCAACTCTTCTAGGTGTTACACTGGAACTTTGTTTGGAAGAATCCAAGATTAATTTGCTTTTCCTTAAGAGTAGGCTTGGCATGTGGCCTGATAGCTTTAGTTTCTTATTCTCGCAGAGAGACACTTGCCTTTGTCAGTACCATTGCCTCCTTCTCCACCAGTTCCAGATGACTTCCCTGCATGCTCCCCTTCACCATCTCCAGCACCTGCTCTGCTTCCAGGCCTGGGAGGGACCCCGGGCTGCTGCTGCGTACTGGAGCCGTGCTGCCCAGCTGCCATTCCTCCTACCATCCGCCCATGGGCATAGCCATGGGCATCTTCCCCATAACTCCCTCCTGGTGGGATGAACTTCTGGAAGTGATCCTAGGGGAGGAGAAAAGAGTGTGGTTGAATCTGTTACAGGACATGGTGTATTCGTGTTTGTAGGGCTGGGTCCCAGAACGTGAACTCCTGAGTCTCTGTGATCTGACCAGTTTCTCTTACAAAACCAGTAGCAGAACCTCATGTGAGTTATTCCCTTTATTCAGTATAGCAGCAGCTGTGGAACAGCAGAAGTGGCAATGGAAGCACATTTGCTTCATAGTCATTTTATGTGATCAGGGTGTTGTTGTCCCCAGCAATGATGACTATGAAATAGAGGAGGAGGGGAAAGGAAATTTAGCTTTTGCCAGAGCAAGCAGAAGTCCAAACAGAGATAACATTGCTAACCTGTGGGAAACCAAGCTGGGCAAGAAAGTGTTTTCATGTCAAAGTTAACATAACCCCAGCTCAATTACAGTGTGGGAATTAAGTGTTACAAGCCACCAGAACAGCAGGGTATCTGTGACAACACAAAAGCCAGGGAGATATCTGCCTTTTAGCCTGTTTTCTGTGTATGTGAAGATCTGCTTGGGGAGGAGTATTTACATGTTGAGAAAAACTGAAGAAAATAGCAGCCTGGGAAAACAGAAAATACTTCCTGGAGACCACAAGAGGGAAATGACAAAAAGGAAGAATTTTGTTTATAGCAGTATGTGAATTACCAAACCAAATCTAACCAGTGACAGAGTAAGAAAGAAAGAAAGTTGTATCCATCAATAAAATTAGGTTGGTCTTATTTGCAGACCATTCACTCTTCCTTGGTCAGGCTAGAAGGCACAGTCTCTGCAGTATATAGTAAAAGAGCAAACAATTCATGCAGGATTTATTGACTTTGTGGTGTACATTTTGGCACGATATCCTGTCTTTGCACACAAAAACTTTCATAAATGCTTGTGTGGAATACAAACTGATATAGTATGTTTAGAAAAATGCTTCACATATTGTTCA